CGGAGCCGGCCCGGGCCCCGGCGCTGTCCGCGGTGCCGGGGGCGCCGGGCGCTGTCCGCGGTGCTGAGCGGGGCCCGCCGGGCGCCGGCCTCGGCCCCCCGGCTACCCCCGGCCCCGCAGGGACCCTCCCGCTTGCAGCTTCCCAGAAGCTGCAGTCAGAGAGGCGGCGAGGAAGGGACGTACACCCAGGCAGAAAGAGGAACCAGGGAATAATTCTCTGGACCCTTTCATTTGTTACAGCAGAGCAGCTGGGCTCCACTGCCAAAGAATCATGTCTGTTTTAGAGGGAAGTGGTGCCTTCCATGTCACATGGTGGTGGGGGAACAGAGAGAAGTGGTAGAGTCCTCTCTGCGTATCTGCGGAGCAGCTGCCACTTCTGTCCTCTTATTCCAAAACCTGCTGCCGGGTTCTCAATGTTCCTAGCCCCACTCAGCTGGACTCTCGTCCATGTCCTAAAGCTGCTCCTCTTCTCTATGTACCAGTCTCCAGTGCTCTTCCTACCATGGCTTGTACATCTCATAGCACATGCATGGGTTGCAAGGTGTCCTGGAAAGGTCTAGGTGGTTTGCAGGACGTTGCCTGGAGTACCCATTTGTCTTTCTTTGTCTGTCAGAACTTGTGTGTTAGAACTTTACCAGCTGCAAAATGGCATTGCCTTGCAGGGCCTGCTGCTGACTGTGCGCAGAGGAAGGCTGAGTTTGTAGTTAGGAATCTGCATCTCTTCTATGGATGAGTGAGTTACATTTGCACTGAAAGAAAGTCATCAAATTAAGAGGAAAGGTGAGTGGTAAGGTCTAGGCACCCATACATGCATACAATAGTTCCTGATTTGCAATGAATTGTTCAAATATCTTTGTTAAGGCCCCAGAAAGTGTATCTGAAAGTGTCAGTGTGTCCTAATGCCCATACACTGACTCCTCATCCAAACTGGTCCTCATGGGCATCTTCTATACTTGTTTCTCGTTAAAAAATGAGTTCTTCCTGGAATGACAAGCTGTTAGGAGGTGATAAGTTTTTCTGTGAATGGAGAGGGTGTAGACTTTCCTATTCAGAGAAGTGTTGTCTCCTTGAGGTCACCTCTCACCCATTTGATATCATCAGACCAACACTTGCCAAGGTTTCATTTGTCCGTCTCACTGCGGTGTTAGCCCTGTTTTTGTGGGGCTGCTGGCTTTAATGTCTCACTTTCACTTCCCTGACACTTAGCATATTTTAGAAGCAGCGAATTATAGATAGGGAGGCCAGTGGGAGGGGGAGAAATGCACAGGGTGATTTCTGAGTGCATCATGTTTCACCAGTTTTGTACATTTTTCATTGATTTTCCACTGACTAAAAGACAAGCCTGCGAATGATCAAGGTCAGACATTCGGGGACAGACAGCTGCCTCTTTAAATGAGGTCATTGCTCTGGGATAGATCACGCTGCAGGGAGGGAAGGCAGTGCAACACGATGCATCCTCTGCACCCAGAACAGCACGTGGATAAAGCGTATCGCCTCTGTAGTGGTGACCTAGCGGCTCGGCTCAGCTGCCATGCACGGGCTGCTAGCACGCAACGCTAAACATCTCTCGCTCTCACACCCCATTGCACAGTGAACTGGTTTAACTGGGAGCATTCAGGTCTGAGGGACCTGGCCCCAGCTCTTCTGCCTGGTCTGTGACCTGTCCAGCCCTTAGCTGGTGCCTCTGGTGACTGTGATCCCTGCAGCGCAGGGCGGCAGTGCCCGCTCCTGTCCCCTCCTCGCGCTGGGGGCTGCTCCTCTAATGGCTTGTGATCAGGATGGCTTGTGATCAGCCTAACGAGCGGGAGGCACCTTTCCAACACACCAGCACAAAACCTGCGCCTCAGAGCAGAGCATAATGAACCTGCATGCGCTGCCATCTGCCAGTGAATACCCGAATAATTACACTGAGACACCTTCTAATAAGTGTGTGGCAGCCTTTAATCTTTTGACACCTTTTCTCCTCCTTCAGGCTTTGAAGATAATAAAAACAAACTGTCAGAAATAGCTGGAAATGCTGTCTCAGCACCAGGGAGCTGCCGGGTCCCTGTCGCGCTGTGATCAGCGCTCCGTGCAGAGCCTTCCCCAACCCCGACCAGCCCTGCTGGAGCCACCTGCTCCTCGTCTGGCCCATGCACACTGGGAAAGGTCAGATTTCTAGAATGGGAAAGGTCAGATTCCTAGAACAGGAAAGTGCTGGCCCTGCTGCTGGGTGATCCCCAGCACTCAGGCGGGCACTGATGCCACCGGGATCCATACTCATGGTCCTCAGAGCCCCAGTCTGTGTGCATCTGGGGCTGCTCCGGGGGCTCCTCCGAGCTCCTCACCTTGCCCTGGGTTTTGTTGTAGAGACTCATGGCTTTTTTTTTTTTTTTTTGTTTTGTTTTTAGAAAATGCGATAGACATTTAAGCTATTTGAAGATATCTGAGAGAGGTGCTTTAGCTGCTGACAGCACCGTAGGCAGCAGCAGCCACCCAGGGCCCGTGTGCAGCCCGGCTGTCCAGCGTGCGTCCGGTTCCTTACCTGACACTGACCTCTAGTGGCACCAGCCCCGGTTATGGCTGCGGCGTCCAGCGCTTGCCCATCCCCTGGGCGTCCAACCTTGCCCACCCCCCTGGGTGTCCAGTGCTTGCACACCCTCCCTTGGAGGGTAGAATATTTTCAGATCACAGCTTTGCCTTCTCCAAAATTGCTTGTTAAGGCAATTTCTGCATTTAATTAAAAAATGTGACTTTAACTTTGCCTCAACTATTATTTTTCAGCCTAATTGAGTTGGGGTGTGTGTGTGTGTCTTTTAATTGCTTTGAAGAATGTAATAAGAAGCTCCTTAAAGTAGTGCAGGGCTAAAAGCTAGAGGCTTTTGATAAATTTAACATTAGCTTAACATTTCCACGGGGATTTGAAGTTATTGGAGGCTTGCAAGGATGTTTGCTTGAGCTAAGTAATTCAATTTGTCGTTCTTCAAAGGGACGTTGCTTTGCAGAGCCCACAAGAGGAGGGCTGCACTTTCCATGGTCAGGACTGGGCAGATCAGGCAGGGAGGGCTCCTGTGTGCTGGTACCCAGAGGCACTGGGGACACAGGGGACACGTTGCACCCCCTTCCTGGGTGCTGACCCTGACCAGAAGTTCCAGCTGAAACCCATGGACTACCAGCAACATCAAAGAACAAACGAGCAGGTGCCAGAGACATTATCATATGAACACAACAATTTTTTGATTTTCTATTGTTTTAGAATTTTCCTTTTTTTTCCTTTTTCCAAAGAAAAATCAATCAAGAAAAACAATCTTTAGATTTCGTAGGCCTGCAAAAAGCACAAGAAGCAGGGGCTGCTCTTCTAGAGCCAAGTCTGCAAGACAAAACAGAGACTGACGCCTGTTTACTTGCATGAGCCACTTGGGTAAACAGCCGGTGTGGCCTCCAAAAGCGCCTGCATGGGGAACTGGGCACCGTGTGATGTACAAGGGAGTTTATATAACAGAGACACAGCCGTATGAGCGGGACAGCGCCCGGGCGGGCGCCCCGCGTCCCCTCCTGGGCACTGGGTGTTTCCCCACGCCGGGAACACCGGGAAGGGCGCCGCCTCCTCCCCCCGCGCCGGGAAGCGCCGCGGCTGCGCCCGGGTGGGCGGTGGCGCCCGGGGCTCCCGGAGCCTCTCGAGCCGCCGGCAGCACCGGGAAGCGTCGCCCGGGCCCGCCCCGCCCCGCCCCGAGCCCGCGGGCTCGGCCGCGCCCCCCGGCCCGGTACCGGCACCAGGGCCATGGCTTCGGGCAAGGCGGCGGGCGAGCGGCGCTGGGAGCTGGTGCGCTGGTGAGTGCGGGGCCCGGCGCCGCGCGCTGCGGTTCGGGGAGACCGGCGGCTCCGCGGGGAGGGGCCTGGGGCTGCGGTGGCGGGGCGGGCGGGGGGCAGTCCCAGACCGGGGGTCCCAGGGAGTCCCAGTGCTGGGAGGGTTGAGGGCCCAGGGGAGACAGCAGAGCAGCCGGATTCGGGAGGGTCAGGGAGGCCCCAGCAGAGCAGGAGGGTTTAGGAGGGTCTGAGGTCCTGGGGGCAGGAGGGAGGGGACAGGAGACTCGCAGGGCTCAGAGGGTTGGGGCTCCCAGCAGCAGCCCCTGTGTTTCAGGCTGTGCAGGGGCTGGGGGGGTTACTTTGCAAGGGGACTGTATCTCTGCGCAGGGAGGTGAGGGGTCTCAGGGCACCCTGCCACTGAACAGGGAGTTGCTGATTGGGGCAGCTAGCATCAGCTGGGTGTTTGGGGGTCTCTGTGTCAGTGCAATGGTCCCAGGTGTCTGGGTGGAGGGGTGCAGCAGCGCAGGGAAGGTGCACTAAAGTGTCGCTGCTGTTGGGCAGGATCCTCAGGGATCCTCCGTGCTGGGTTTCCAGCAGAGGCAGGAGAGGGTCAGGAGCAGAGGTGCTCCCGGTACTGGGGCATCCCCCCACAGCCAGGGAGATCAGGAGTGTCTGGTCCTGCAGGCAGGTCCTGGGCAGGAGCAGGGGCTCGTGATGGTCCTGGGGGTGAAGGCTGCAGAGGCTGAGCCCGCGCCAGGCTCGGGGGGGCAGCGCTGGGCTGACGTGGGAAACGAGCTCTCGGTACTTTTAATATTTCATTGTGGAGTTTGTGACGTCCGAAGCGTGTGACTTTTGAGCAGGATGCGGTAGCGGTGCTGCGCTGTGAATGGGAGGACTCTCGGGGTTGCAACCCTGGCACGGTTACGCAAGGGCTGGCGCTGGCCCCGCAGTGCAGGGCGGGCGCTCGAAGCTGCCGGGCAGCAGCCCCACACCCCACCAGGGACCAGGGCCCTGCGCATCCCGGGGGAGGCTGAGGCTGCCGTGGTGCCCTGCTCATCTCCCTCCGCACTGCAGGGCTCCCCTCGCACGCTTAGGCTGTGTGTGGAGCAGGTGCTGCCCTTGTCCTGGCGGGAGAAAAGCAGCAGGGAGATTCTCTGCCAGGGAAACTGACCCATGATTCGGGTCTGGCTTTTCTGGGTTTCATCTTGGTGCCACACTGGGAGCCCCAAGAATGCCCCGTTGGGAGCAGGGAGCCACATTGCTGTGGGGGGCTCAGCCACGGGACCAGCAGCCCATGCACCCATGTACCTATAGGCACTCCTGCTTCAACTGAAATAGCAACCTCCGAGTCATCACGTGCATATTATTTAATAATCCTCAGCATCTGGTCTGGTGTCAGAGCACCATTAGAAGGACGATAGCCAGGTCGCAGAGGCAGTAGCCGTGCTGAGGACGGCACAACGCAGTGGTGGCCAGGCCGGGGATGGGCGGTGGGACGCTGTAGGATGTTGCTGTGCAGTGGCTCCAGGAGGCCTCGCAGCTGCCGCCTGCGACACGAGCATCTCCCAGGGCCGAGCTTCCTCACTGCGACTCCCTTGCTCTCATTCCTTGTGCCTTGGGGCTGTGGCAGCTGCCAGGGCCGACCACCCTTCCAACCTGCTGGCCCTGCATCCTCCCCCCGGCCACGCGGCACTGATGAATATTTCAGCCGCTCGCTGTTATTTTTAGGTATGTGCGGGAGGGTCGGTTCCGCATCGAGGAGAGGACACTGACTGCTTTCCAGTGGCTGCACTCGCCCCAGCAGCACCGCATCGTCAGCCGGGCCGACCTGGGCTCGCCCAGCAGGTACGGGACTCCTGCGTGGCCGGCACCGCATCGGCATCGGCATCCGCATGCTCCCGGGACTGCCCTAGTGTCACGGGTGTACAAACACCCTGTTCCCATCTGAGACAAGGGCCTGGGCACCCTGGCAGTGGCAGCAAGTAGGAGGTGTCAGGCCAGACTCTGGGGGTTGAAGAGGTGCAAGGTACAGATTAACACCCTCATTTGCTCTCTCAACCTCTCGTGCTTCTTGCTCTTGCTGCTGGAGCCCTGACAGCCTTGGCACATTTATCCACCCAGAACTGCATGGCCGGAGTGATGGCCACAGTGCCTTCGCATCACCCATCTGCCTGTGCCCCCCTTAGCAGGGGACACTCAAGGGGCTGAGGCCAGCGCTGCTGTCCTAGAGCACCGCAGCGTGTGGGGAGCAGCGGGGGGCTGCGCTCTGCAGAGGCTGACAAGCCCGATGTGGCTGGTGCCTCCAAGGAGGGGGACACAGCCCAGTGGGCACCGCACTGGGCCCCTGCACCAGGCCCTGCCTCCCCCACAACAACACCCTCGGGACCCACTGCGATTGGGACCTGCTGGCTCTCGGCTGGTCCCCATGGTGGGAAGGGACCTTCAGCGCCTGCAGGTCTTGGCCCTGGAGGCTCCGCTTTCCCCCTCCTCAGGTTGTGCTGTTGATTCGGCCACAGCAGAACGGCTCCTGCAGGGCTCCCGTGCTGGACTGACCTCCAGCTTCAGGATGGAATCCATGAATTTTGCCCCATTATCTAGGCGCTTGCTTTTATTTGCTTATTTATTTATTTTTAACAAAACAACCCTTTGTTCCTACCCAACGGACACTGTGGGGTTGAATCCCCAGTCCTGGGCACATCCCAACTCGCAGCAGCCCCTCTCCATTCCCTGCTCCGCTCCCTGCTGCCAGCAGTGCGGAGGGGGCTGCAGCAGCCCCGTGCCCGGAGCCGCCCGCGTCACGGCGGCGCTCTGTGCGGCGCGGCGCCGCCAGGGCCCCTCGCGGGGGCGGCCGTGCTGGTGCGGCGCCAGACGGCCGCGGCGCGCGGCAGCGGCGGCGCGGGCAGAGGCGCTGCCAGCAGCGAGGCGATATCTGCTGCGGGGCTGCAGGGCTGCGTGGCTGCCGCGCTCTGCGCACGCGGGGCTGCTCCAGTGCAGGGGAGCTGCAGCGGAGCCAGGTAAGGGGCGGTGGAGCTGGCGCAGCGGGATGCGGTGCAGGGAGATGTGGCGCGGCAGGATGCAGGCGCAGAGCGCCGCAGCGGCGTGCGGGGCTGGCAGCAGAGCAAGCAGGAACAAAGGCAGGGAGGTCTCCGTGCACCCTTGCGTTGCTCCGGGCGGGTGGTGCGGGCAGCAGTGCAGCCGCGAGCCCTGCAGCTCTGCGCACTGGTGCTCGGGGCAGGGTGGCTCTGTGCAGCTCTGGGGCCGCATCCCCAGGTGCCGGGTGCTGCAGCGCTGCTGTCAGCAGGAGTCTCCATGCCTGGAGCACCCTGGGGTGCTGAAGGTTGCTTGGGGGGGGTAGCCCTTGATCCCTCCCGCTTTGCTGGCATGGCACCACGATGCTGCTGGTCCCCTCCAAGCAGGCGAGCCTGCCGCCTCCGCTGTGCACGCTGCTCTATTTCAGGCTGCTCATTTTAGCATTGCTGGGAGGGAACATCTGTCCTCCCGGCACGACGCACCAAGCGCTGGCAGTGGCCCAGAGTGGGTGTCTCCTTCAGGGTCCAGCAGCATGCGCGCTTCCCGGGTGCAAGCGCGGGCTGTGCACGGAGCAGCTCGGGTGGGTAGCTCCCTCCTGCCCTGCCCTCCTGCAGGGCAGCTCACGACAGCCCTGCCACGGGCACTGCGTTCATCCTGGGCTCCTGCTTGTGTTTCTCTCCCTCCCTGTTCTGCTGGCTACGTGGCGCACAGGGCAGCAGGAGACTGGGCACTTTGCAGCTGCAGCATGAGCAGAGACTCCTGCTGAGGCTGGACTGGGGCAGCCACCCCAACCTCTTCATTTTTGGGGAATATCACCCAGCCCAGGCTCAGCATTTGCCTCCCTGCTGCTGCCAGGCAGAGGGAGCCGCTCCTTGGTCAAGATCCTGCAAAACCTGCTGCAAGTGCTGTGACGTGCAGGTGATGTCAGGAGGTGCAGTGGGGTTTGCACGGCCCAGGTCCAAGCCTGGCGTCTCGTTTGCACAATGACACGCAGCCACCCGCAGGTTGGCGCTGCCCCGCGCGCTGGCGCCTGCCTGCGCTCCTGCTCCTGGTCAGCGCCGGTGCCGCTGCGCGCCGATGTGCAGGTAGCCATGGTGACGCTGCCGGCCGCGGGCAGGGCGGCTGCTCCCGCAGAGCCCACCACAGCGCGTCCCTACCGCCCAGCTGCACGCCGGGCGGCGCAGCATGCACATGAGCCGTATGTACACACCTGCATGCGCATGCATGCCTGGGGGTGTCAAACATAATGACACACTGCTGCTGGCGGGATGCTAACATGTGTTTTTGCTCCCAGCATCTCCTTCTAGCACTCAGTGCAGACAGCAGTGGCGGGAGGTAACGGGAGGCGCGAGGGCAGTGGAGGTTTCCCAAGGGAACTGCATCCCTGCTCCAGCAGGAGAGAGAAAGCATGCAGCTCTGCACATTTAATTTAGGAGTTCCAAATTTGTAGCGAACCATGGATTGTTTAAATAGCACTGGAGGGGCTCTGAGATGCCCTGATGTCCACAGAGCTGCTCAGATGCAGCTGCTGGAGCTTTTTCTCGTTGTTGTGGTCAGACGAATATTTTGCTGGGGCTTCGCGCCCCTTCCCGCTGGAGGTGCCTGCGCTCCCTGCTTTCCTGGCAGCCCATTCTTGGTGATGATCTGCTGCACTGGGCTCTGCAGGAAGCCACGTGCTGCCTGCAGCTGGAGATAGCGCAACCGCAGAAGGGTGCCGTGGTGCCCAGGGACCAGCAGGGCTGGAGAGGGGTGCGGAGCCGGGTGTGGAGCTGGGTGCAGAGCCGAGCAATGTTGCCCCTGACCAGGAAGCCGCCAGGCCGGCCCGCTGTGCCCCTTGCTGTGCCCCTCGCTGTGCTCCTCGAGGTCCACATGGGCAGGGTTGGCGCTGTGGCTGCTCTCCCACGCTCTTGTGCTGGTTGCTGCACACTGAGGAGCTGGGGAAACGCGTGTCCCCCTCCCAGTTCTGGGCCCAAGGGTGTGAGATACCCCGCTGAAGAGGGCAGCTGGGAGAGGGCTGATGCTGGGCGCGGGGCACGGGCTGAGTGGAGCTGGCGGCCACACTGCCTGGGGCCCTGTGCAGTGCTCCTGCCATTAAGGGAAACGCGACTGGGCCACAAAGGGTTGCAAAAAGCGCAGGGGGAGGAGAGCAAAGGAAACGGCAGTTTTTGTGGCAGTGCGGGTGCACGCCCGAGGGCAGGCGCTGACGCATGGGGCACTCGCAGCTCTGTCCCGGCAGCCACCTCCCGACCTGCGGGACACGCGGGGCAGGGCCGGCCCCGCTCCTTTTCCTGTTCCTGCTCCTGTCCTGCCGCGTCCCCGTGGAGCAGCCACCATGTTCCAGCGGAAGCGCAGCGTCTCCTTCGGTGGCTACGGCTGGTGGGTGCCTTCGCGTCCCCTTCCCTGCCCATGGGAGCCCAGCGGTGCAGCCGCGGCCGGCCGAGCCCCACGGTCTTCCCGGGGGTGCTGGGCCATGTCCCTACCACCCCATCCCCCCGTGCGGCCGCTGCTCCTGTTGGTGCTGCCGTCCCAATGCGAGTGGAGCCCCAGCAGCATGGCCAGGTCGCAACTGCTGCAGCGCTGGCACCATCCTGCCCGGGCTGGACTCCTGGAGTGGAACCACATGGTCCTGTGCCCTGTTCTCCAAGCTGCTCTCTGCATGGAAGAAATTCAGGGAAAGGGCCCTGTTGTCCCAGACCGTGTGTGTTTTCTGCTGCCACGGCCATGGTTGTTTTGTGGGTGAGGAGCCCCCAGCTCCTGCTACCTCCCTGTCCCATGGGCAGAGCTGCTCCAGGATCCTGAATCCCAGTGGGAGCCGCAGGACTGCTGGGAGCCCCAGTGCATGTGGGATGCACTGAGCAACACGCTGTGGCCACAGGGCTCTGTTGCCAGGGTGACGGGCATGGGCTTGGGATGCTCCTGGGGACACTGGGAGGATGCAGCGTGGTGCCGGCTCCTTGGGGGCAGGGCTTGGCAGCAGTGGTGGTGCTCCAGCTGCCGCAGGGCGCTGGGGTGCTCCCAGGGAGCATGTTTCATGGACACAGTGCAGTGCAAGGACATTCCCGGGGACCATGTTTCATGGACATGGCACATGCTGGGGTGCTCCGAGGGCTGTGTTTCACGTTGTGGTGCCGGGAGTGTCCCCATGCATGCCCGTGGGTGCAGCGCCAGCCCCGTGGGAGCGCGCTGGGCGTTGGTGCACGGAAGCGGCCGTGCTGCTACCCGCAGCGCTGGGCTGGCGGGTTGCCGGAACGCCCTTCCTGCGGCCGCGCGTGCGCGGGGCAGCGCTCGCTCGCTGGCAGCCCCAGGCACCAGCTCCGGCCTCGCGGCCACCGCGGTACCCAACGCACGGGCGCTCTGTCCTGCTGTTTTGTCCTCTTTATCCCAGGCTAAGGAGCATGGCGTGATCTTGCCCGTGTGCTCCCTTCCGGGTGTTGTGTCTCGCTGCTGCCCCATGGCCCGGCCGCACCGCGCTACCGCTTGGGCAACAGGTTCTTTTGCAGCCGGCGGCAGCAAGGCGGAGCATGGCTTAATGATCAGTGAGCTCTGGAGGGGCTCGTTAAATATTAAGTGGTAATAGTGGTGCCCAGGCCTATTTTTAGGCAGGTCACGTGCTGCGGCGCCGGGCGCGGGAGCGGCGCGGCTGGGGGCCGAGCGCGGCGGGGGCGTCCGCGGCGCAGCAGCGAGCGGGGAAGCGCTGCAGCGGCCTGGCAGCGCGCAGTGCTCACGCTGCACAAACGGTGCTTCCCACCTTATTTTCCTAGCTGGGAATTAGTTCTGCATGGCAGAAATAGAGTGTTAGCAGCGACTGCCAAAAGCCATGGTTTTCTATGTGGAGACCGTTGCAGTGATCTGCCTTAATTGCTGTTAATGGGTACCGGCTCTGTGGAGATGGGCACTTAGCAGCACGGTCAGGCAGGCAGAGGCAGCATGGAGTGGCCCGCAAAGCCATGCAGTGCTCATCGTGTTCCGATGGCCACACAGGGCTCTTCATGTCCCATGGGGCTGCGCGGTGCTCGCTGTGTCCCGAGGGAGCTGCTAACACCATCTCTCCTCTGCTCTCCCGCCAGGATCGACAAGACAATGCTCGCCAGCCTGAAGATCAAGTAAGTGTGCGTGTCCCCAGCTCCGAGGCCACTTTGCTGCCCAGCCTGGGCTCGGGGCGAGGGTGTCTGCCCAGCACCGGGGCCAGTCTGCAGAGCCGCGCTGCAGCCAGACACACGACACGCGCAGTGTGCTTCTTCCCACAGCCTTAGAAAGAACCCAGCACGGTGCTGTGCTGGCATAGGGATCAGCCCCTCGCCCCCCAACTGCCCCTTGATCCCCACGAGACTCTGACTGAGTCTCTTGGGCAGCATGGGGAGAACCACCAAGCACCAGCAAAGGTCCTTCGGGAGGCGAGGAGCCGTTTGGGCACCTCTGCAGGTGATCATAGCAATGCAGACATTCCTATCCGCAAGGAGAGCGGCTGCTGAGGCACTGCACAAGCAGCTGCGTGTGGCCGTGGGGAGTGCGTGGCACCCAGGGGGGGAACAGAGGCAAGATCTGTGCGGCCTTTGCTACAGGAGCAGTGTCCAGCACCTGGGCACGGGAGCTCGGGCCGCTTTGTTTTTCCATCCATCCCTGGAAAAGCGGCGGCCATGCCGGGTGGCACAGCCCCCACGAGGGGGCATCCTCCTGCAGCGCCGCTGCAGCCTCCGGAGCCGGCGCCGCTGCGCGAGGCCTGCGCCCTGGCCAGGCTGCCCGCACCAACCTCTGCTCCTGCCCCTTCCAGAAGCGATGGACGGTGCGGTTTGAGGAGTGCCTTGGGGCCATGGAGACTCCCGACATCCTGGGTTGTTGGGGTGTGTGGGTCTGCTCTGCAGAGCGGCCGGGAGCACCGATGTTAGAGGCTGCGGGAGGGCTAGTGCCCATCAGCCTCCGGCCACGATGCCAAGCGCGAAGGCGCTCACAGCTCGGGGTGGCTGGGAGAGTGTGGGGAGTCATGGGTGCTGCCAGCTCATTTCCTCCCTTGATTCGATTTAGTTTGATCCGACACCGAGCTCTTGGAGCTCGTCTCTGCTGGGAGGGGAGGGCGCAGGCCCGCAGCCGGCCCCAGGAGCTGCACCGCTGCAGGAGGTGGATCCGTGGCAGTCGGTTCCTGTGATCTCGCAGGGACAGGAGCTGCCCAAACACAGCTCCATCCCGTGCTGCAGCATCCGAGTGTGGATGCTGATACCTTGGCCCCTATGCATCTCCTCTCCGTCCATATGGAGCAACTGAGCATCACTGGCAGTAATTGCATGGGCAGCACGAGCAGGGAAGGTGATCGGCAGCATCCCCTCTAGCTTGTGGTGTTCTGTCCCAACCTCTAATTTGAGATGTGTTTGACCTTCCCTGCTGCTCATGCGTTACAGTGCTGTGGAGTCCCTGTGGCCCGTGGCTGCTCCCCTGCTCCGCAATGTCCCATCTCGGGGGAGGAACAACCACCTGCCTTCTGCTTCACTGCTGTCTCCTCCATCTCTCCAGCCCGAGCCATAAAGCAAATCTCTAATCAGATTATTTGGGGCTGGATGCTGCGTAATCGAAAGCTCTGTTTCTTGTGATACTTCCCTTAAAACAGGCCGCAGTCTTATCCTCCTCTGGCAGCACATCTCGAAATGCCGTAATCGCTTTTTCCCGAGCATTCGAGTGCTGCAGTCCTTTTCTTCCCATGCCAGGGAATCGGGGATGCGGCTGCTCCTCCTGCACTAACTTGGGTGCTATTTTCGTCCTTCCCTGTCACTTGCACCCTTTGTTCGTTGCTCTCCGGCTCCATCCCCTTGAAGCAAGAGGCTCCACAGGAATGGGGTGGCTGCTGTGTGTCCCTCAGCACTGGCACCTTTGCACCCGGCAGACCCGCGGCCCTGCGCCCTGTGAGTGCTGGGGCACTTGGGGGGCAGGCAGGGCAGCTCTGGGTGTTTTTCGGGGACATAGAGCATGATGCTGCAATCAGACTAGGAAGGAAAGAGTGTGCACTGGGATAAAGGCTCTTTGCATTTGGAGGAGAGAATTGCTACCAATAAATGAAGCCTGTCCTGTTTGCATGCGCCCTTCTGCAGCCTGACCTCACTGAGGCACCTGAGTAAGAGCCAAAGTTGCTCCATAGATGCAGGCATTTTAACACTAATAGTATCAGTGGAATTGTGTTTCCAGGGGAGGCTCTACAGTCCAAGGTTGAGGCTTGATCCTGTCACCCGTAGGGTTTTCAGAACCATCTTCCATAGCACTGCACACAGGAGGAACCAGCAAGCTCTCCAGCCACCCTGGTGTCTTATTAATCCCAGCGTGTAATTGCTCAGGCTGAGACGAGTGCTCAATGGCTCAGGGGGGAAGATTTTGAGTTAGCTGCAAAACTGCTTTCCCTGCAGCAAAAATGTCAGGACTTTTCAAAGAGGTGGCAGCTGCTTATCTCCAAGGTTATTTAGGCATTGCACTGGTCGTGCAAAATCTGCACACCTGCGTCCACCTCCGGAGCACGTCCTTGTCGGCAAACCCGAGCGTGCATGCTTGTGCACATGTGTGTGCATGTGTGCTCATGCACGTGCATATGTGTGTGCAGGGAGCCGCATGGGGGCCGCACCAGGTCCTGCCCGTCCGTGAGCCCCCGAGAGTGGAGTCCCGGCCCTGGTTGTTTGGAGGCCAGAGGCGGCTGCCAGCCTCAGCGTCCTCTGTTGCCAAACATGAAAGAAATGAGCGTCTTTAAAAATCAATACCAAGGCACTTGGGTGCACAGCAGCAGAGGATTAATGCTTAACTTGTTGGCAAAGGGAGGGGGCATCCCCCCGGGGAGACTCAGCCAAACCCACAGCTCTGTTTAATGCAATAGGTGAAAGCTTTAAAATTACCACCCACCCCATTAAATGGAGCTAATGAGGTGCTGGAGGATTGATGTAATTTGGCATGGAAATGGGATTGCTTGGTTGCTTGCTATTGCTTAGAAATCTGTCAGCCTTTCCTGAGTGGAAGCTGCTGCCGTTTTCCATGGAGTGAAGGGACCCACTACTCCAAGAGGGCTCCAGCTTTGCCCCTTGCAGCTTTGTGGTCCTGCTCCAGAGCTGCTGAGACCTGGACATTCATGTCGAAACGCACTGGGATTCGGCTCTGTGCTGCACGGCTGCTGCAGCCGCGTTTTTCTAGGTGGTGGATAGAGGTATTGACCCAAGGTCCCACGTGTGCTCAGCCGACTTGCAGTGTAGAGTGGAAAGAAACTGCTGCGAAGATGAAGGGCACTTTGACTGGTTTGAGCGTGATGCACAACTAGAGCCGGGCCTGCGGTGCTTCCCTGGAAGTGGCTGGAGCTGCAGTAGTGTCAATCACCTGAAAGGTGGTGGTTGCAGACAGGGGCTGCAGAGCTGCAGCTGGCGCAGAGCAGATGTGAGGAGCTGCAGGCAGCGCAGGGACGGGGTGCATGGGACACTGCGTGGGGACGGAGCGCGGTGGCTGCGGGAACCACGGGGCTCCTTTCTCCTCTCCACCTGCAGTGGGGCTGAGGGCTGTGTCCTTGCCCAGTGGTGGTGCCAGGCCTTGGATAGATGCCCGTGTTTTAGCAGTCCTGTCTGCAGATCTCGTGCTCTCCTGCCCTGGGCCTGGCTGTGTCTTCATCCCCTACCGAGGCACATGCTCATGTGAGGATGCAGCCAGCACCACTCTGCCTCCCCTGCAGATCAGGGCAGCAGGAGGGGAAGGGCACAGGGGGAGCACGTGTGCAATGCGGGCCTGCGTGGGGAAAGTGTCTTCACTCTGCTGAGGCTTCAAAGTTGTGGTAACTTCATCCCTCTAAAGGCTCTGCCAGGGTCCTGTCATTGCAACCTCAGCGTCAGCATCAGAGCAATGTTTGTGATATCGTAGCTTCACCATAAAAATTAAGTCTCTGCTCGTTTAAGGCTCTTAAAAGGCAGCTAATCCCCAACAGCAGTCAGTGCGCGGCAGCGTGGGGGGCCGCGTTCTCGACCGCTTGGAGAGCGTCGGGCACCCCTGCTCTTCCCTCGGCCCTTTTCAGGGTTAAAAGGACGGAAAAAGGGGCAGCTGGAGCCGGGCGGGCGCTGCGCGGGGCTCAGCGGCGGC